CGTCAGAGAGAGCATGCGATCGCGACGGAGTCGCGATGCGTTGCACAGGAGTGGCACCCGTTTGGCCACGTTAATATTGACCACAGTTCCGATTAACCACGTTGCAATTGACCACGTGCGATTGACTACGTTAATATTGACCACAGTTCCGATTAATCACGTTGCAATTGACCACGTGCGATTGACTACGTCAATAGACTACGTGCGATTGACCACAGTCCCGATTGACCACGGTCCCGATTGGTCACCGTCCTGATTGACCACAGTCCCGATTAGCCACCGTCCCGATTGACCACAGTCCCAATTGGCCACCGTCCCGATTGACCACCGTTTCGTTTGATCACCGTCCCGATTGGCCACGGTTCCGATTGACCACGGTCCCAATTGACCACCGTTCCGATTGATCACTATCCCGATCGCTTTGCGTAAAAAATGTAAACCCATGTGGAACCTTGCTTTTCGTTGCATGTACACGCCTGGAGACTGTACCTTCCGCCCCCCCCTACGGGGAGGCGGCGTCTAGTTTAAAACTAACCTAACCCAAACCATTTTTTGGTGTGAAGTGGACCTCGCTTCGCGTAAAAAGTTGTAAACCCGTGTGGAACTTCGCTTTTCGTTGCAAAGTACACGCGTGGATGCCGTACGTTCCGTGCCTCCCCTACGGGGGGGGGGGGCATCTCGTTTTAAACTAACTTAATTCAAATCATCTCTTGGTGTGGAGTAGATCTCGCTTCGCGTAAAATGTTGTAACTTGTGTTATAACAATGGTCAGTCGGGACGGTGGTCAATCGGGATCGTGGCCAATCGGGACTGTGGTCAATCGGGACTGTGGTCAATCGGGCGGTGGCCAATCGGGACGGTGGTCAATCGGGACGGTGGTCAATTGGGATCGTGGTCTATCGGGACGGTGGTCTATCGGGACGGTGGTCAATCGGGACGGTGGCCAATTCGAACAGTGGCTAATCGGGACAGTGATGAATCGGGACCGTGGTCAATCTCAACGTGGTCAATATTAACGTAGTCAATAGCAACGTGGTCAATAACAACGTGGTCAATTGAAACGGTGGCCAATATTAACGTGGTCAAACGGGGCGCTCCCTGCGTTAGTTTGTCATTTTCCAAATGGAAAATGTCACAAAAGTCGTCGCAAATTTGTTCAAGCGTTTTCTTCTCCTCTTTGTTTCGCTTTGTTCGCAATTGCTTACG